GGCCCGTTGGTGTGCCATCCTGCTCCCCTGCCTCGGGGGTTTAGGGGCGGGGGGGGTTGGGCACCGCATCTCCCCACCTCGCTGCCATTGCCAGCTGAGACCCCTTCCAGTGGGGCAGCCTGTTTCCAAAGCCAAATCGCTCCCAACCCGCATAAAATCAGCTCGAGCATCATTTTCTGCCTTTGCTGATGGGACGAGGCTTGCTCTGCTCGGCCTCCACATGGAGTGGGCTGAGATACGCTTGGCAAGGTGCTGGCCACACTCCCCCCATCAGCTGGTTCGGGGTCCCAAGGGCTTGGTCCCTTTTGTGTCACCCTGAGCGGGCAGGGGCGGGGGCGAGAGACTGGGAGGGGAAGAAGTGGGGAGAGGGGTTGTCCCCTTGGTTTGGTTACATATCACCACTCTGACATGGGTGTGGGAGCGCGGGAGGCTCCCACCTTGCAAAGCTACTGCCTTAAGTGCTGCTTGGCAGCCCATCTCCCTGCCCTGGAAGGGTGGGTTCTTGCATTTCTTTGTTTAAAATGGGGGAAAGCGCGGTGACAAACTTGCGGAACCTGGCAAGGGTACGGTGCATGCTGGAGATGCTCCCAGCACACTGGGGAAGCTCGGGCGGAGTCTGCAGGGGCTCGGTGGGCACATGGTGCTGGGATCAGAGGGGTCAGCAGCCCCATCCATACTTGGAGACCTGCCAGGCCCCAGGCGGGAGCATCGCCGAGATGAGCCGCGGTTGAAAACCTGCTCCTTGCTTCTCTGTGCTTCTATTTCCCAGGCACCACCAACACAAGGAAAGATGAACTGAATTACCAGGGGCACAGAGACGTGCAAGGCCGGACACGTGCTCTGCCAGGGAGCCCTCTGGGGTCATGGCTCTGCAGCAGCAGCCCCACACCAGCCCACCCCCAGGCCGCTAGAGGCCAAGTTCCTTCCCCAGTTCCCTGCTGTACCAGGGAAAACCCTGCACTTCCCCCACTTCCAGGGCAAAGTCCCAGGCCTGAAGGCTGCTGGAGGGCAGGATGCTTTTTAAAAAGCCCCCTTCTCTGGGGCACACACCAAAGTGAACGTCTCAGTGACCTCACTTTGGGGCAGCTGGGCTGACGCTGGAGATAAACTGAGTGGTGCGGGAAAGGGCCTCTGGCTCCTGCAAGGTCCCTGCCACCCTGCAGGCAAACTGTGTTCCGGAGGCAGCTGCATCCAGGAGTGATGTTCAGCCCTGCCGACCCCAAAGGATCAGCCAGTGGGACCGGCCCTCGTTCTCCCAGCGTCGGGAGTGGGATGGACTTGGTGGCTGGGCCCCACCCCCCCACTGTGGGCACTGCTGGCCCCCATCAGGGAGGTCCCATGGGCTCCAGTGTGGGGCTTTCAGAAACACTGGCTCAAGCAGCTGCTAAAGCTGCTGTGTCTGAGCTGCCCCCTTCAGCAGCATGGCAGGGGGTACACTGCTGGGCTCTCGGAGAGGGCATCCCTCAACCCCTGTGCCATCCAAGTAGAGGAAATTTGCGAGTGGACACTGGGGTACACATGGGAAGAGCAATATAGGCCTTGGGAAAGGGAGTCCTGCCTCCCCCACCTCCTGGAGCACTTTGCAGGTGGATCAAGAAGTTATTTGGGCAAAATAGATGGGGCTGTCTTGCAGAATTTCAGCGGCTGAGTGAAAAGCACCTAAATGCAGGTGCAGTCGTAGGTGGGCTGATGGAAAGTGAAGCACATGGGGACGATCAACCCTGACTTCACGGGTGAGACAACAGGCTCCGAGTGCCCCAAGGCAGCCCCAGGGAAAGGTCAGAGCTCAGTGGCTGTCACAGCCAAGAAAAAAAGGAGAAAGAAATTCACGTGCTTGGAATTACTAGGAAAAGAAAGGAGATTAAAAGAAAGACCCCGGTTCAGCCATTGCCTAGGTCCTTCTATCGCCCACAGCCTGAATATAAAAAGGAGACAGAGCCAAAGTGGAAGCCCCCGCTCTGCTCGGCCTCCACATGGAGTGGGCTGAGATACGCTTGGCAAGGTGCTGGCCACACTCCCCCCATCAGCTGGTTCGGGGTCCCAAGGGCTTGGTCCCTTTTGTGTCACCCTGAGCGGGCAGGGGCGGGGGCGAGAGACTGGGAGGGTAAGAAGTGGGGAGAGGGGTTGTCCCCTTGGTTTGGTTACATATCACCACTCTGACATGGGTGTGGGAGCGCGGGAGGCTCCCACCTTGCAAAGCTACTGCCTTAAGTGCTGCTTGGCAGCCCATCTCCCTGCCCTGGAAGGGTGGGTTCTTGCATTTCTTTGTTTAAAATGGGGGAAAGCGCGGTGACAAACTTGCGGAACCTGGCAAGGGTACGGTGCATGCTGGAGATGCTCCCAGCACACTGGGGAAGCTCGGGCGGAGTCTGCAGGGGCTCGGTGGGCACATGGTGCTGGGATCAGAGGGGTCAGCAGCCCCATCCATACTTGGAGACCTGCCAGGCCCCAGGCGGGAGCATCGCCGAGATGAGCCGCGGTTGAAAACCTGCTCCTTGCTTC